TATGTTGTAATCAAGTAGAATATAAATTTAATTTTTTATAATTGTTATAATAGTTTTGATTAAAAAAAATATTTATGAAAATAATTTTTTTTTATACTAGGGTGTATTAAACCATCGCTAATCATTCACCCTAACTATAAGATACACTTCGAATGTTTCCTTGGAATGTAAAATGAAAGAATATCAACTTTTTGTATAAAAAAATTTACTAGTTCATATAAATACACACTTTTATTGATGAAACTTGCATTAATTAAATGGTAAAGGTGGTGGTTTAGTACCCCCTCTAACTTCTTGGAAATGCCCATTGACTAGTGACCAACGTAAACACACAGTCTTTTCATACATCTATCTTTTGATATCAAGATAAAGATTTTTAGATAAGTGTTGACAAAGTTATAACAATTTTAGTATAGAAAACGGTTTTTTCGGGTCATATAATTATGTATAAAATCTGTTTTATAACATTGCAAGTAGTCTTAAAAGCATTAATTTAAAGTATCTTTAATCTACCTACATTACCCCGTTTAGTGGAATAATGTGGGTCTAAGTCACATTTTATCTTTTTCCAATGAAATATACCCATTCGTAGTAAAAATATGACAAGAATTTTTGAGTATGTATTATATTTAAGTTATTGAATTGTTAAAACATAATAGTACTTTAAAAGATGCTTTAAATGCAAAAATATTTAACACGTTGAAAGCACCAAATTAGAAATACAAAAAAAAAATTTAACTCTATTAGCTGTTTTCCAAAGAGTGAAAAGCTTTCTTGCAGTTCAACTTCCAAAGTTTAACACTTGCTTATTTATATAAAATAAATCGCTTTACAATTCTCCCCATTGAGTATATAGGGGAAGTTCATGTACCCAAGGTCGGATCTTTTTAATGTACAAACTCAAGACCCCAGATTTGTCTAAAAATAGTTAAACTTGTATGATCAAATCTCTATAATAATTACTTTATATTAGTATTAAAATATGATTAAAAAATTATCTAAATTGGAACACTAAAGAATAAATTTGATGAAAAAAATCATCTAAATTGGAACACTAAAGAGTAAATTTGTTTTTATCGATAAAAACATAATTATTAAGATGTTGCTTTTTGGAGCAACTATATAATAGGTCATATTATAAACGTCCGTCATTTAGAAGGGTTTAAAATTTAGTAGCCTTAGCTACAATAAGCCTTTTCTCATTTTACTTTAGAGCACTAGCTATATTACTTTGGGCCACACTTTGAAAATTAGGTTTAACTCTAAAATTAATTGACAACCAAGATAGACACATAAATTTGATTAAAATTTTATTCAATCATAGATTGTTTCCAACAAATTTATCAAGTGTTATTTGGTTGCAACACTTAAACAACAAAATTGGTTTATAGTTCTAAAAAAAATTTAAAAATAAATCCATGCGTAAATTGGTAATTTTCTTTTCTGATGATTTTTTCCCTAGAAAATAAAAGCTCTACATTTATCAAATATTAACAAACTACCTCGTTATCAATAAATTCTTCAGCCACATACGGCCCTAGGTACAAGCAAACTATATGGCCCTAGGTACAACACTTTTTTTTAATTAATTATTTTAGGTGCCCCAAGACCTCCTTACGGTCTTATCACAGAGCGCTGCAGAGGAGCATTTGTTATAAAGTTCATGCCTCCTTTTTAACGATGTTGTTAAACTTGCCAAGAGGTGGCGTTGAACCAAGGATCTCTAGATTCTATAGCAGGCGTGCTAACTACTGCACTACAACTGCAATAGCCTTATGAAAAATATCATCTATTAACAAACCCAGATTAAGAGAAAACTTATTGAACACCGCTTTAGTATCCAAGTAACAAACAATATAATATACAAGAACTTATAGAAAAGCATTTCCTCTAGGATTGTAAAACAATCTATGATACCAGCGGCAAAAATTTACTTTAGATCATCAAAAGCATTTTCCGATTATAATATGTCCAAACAAAGATTATTACATGTCGTAACAACGCTCTCTGAGTATCAATGTAGGATTAAAAAGTCAAACTAATCAACTGACTGAAAGACAAAACTTAAACTTTATAGTTTTCAAATAACGTGGAGTGACCCCAGTTACGTAGTGGCCCTAGGTACACGAACTTCCCCTAATATTAAAATCAAAATACTTTTGTAAAAAATTTTGTTTGAGAAAAAATATAGCGGAAGCATAATTTAAAATTAACCAAAAATTGTTGTGTTTGTTATTAGAGTTTCATTTTTTTACATAAAAAAAAAAAAAAAAACAGTAATGTTTAGATTGATACTTTACAACTGCTACGCTGCGTTATCTACTAGTTTCAATGTAAACTTTTACATTACATCTTTAATGATCATTTAATAAATTTTTAGATTTCCAAAATATGATTCCAGAAACATAGCCAAACTTTTTATACTAATTTATATTTTAAAGGTATTTACTTCTGTATAAGTGTATACATATTGTACTTACTTTACTTTAAGTACTACTTACTTTACTACTTTAAGTGTATACATATTGTACTTTTTGTAATATACATTTTAGCTCACCCGACGTTGTGAATTTCAAAAAAACTGTGTAATCCTCTTCCCGTTTTAAAACTAATTAAACCTAACTATATAGTAACTTTTTTTTCTGATTAAACATTTTCTATACGTGACCATTTTTTGTACCCTTTTTTTTAAGTTTAAAATTTTAAATAAAACTCTCTGTTTAAATGTATGCGCCATTTTAAATCAAAAATGAACCTAGCAATTTGCCTAGTAAGCTGATATTTAAAACTTAGAGAGCTGTTTTAACCATCTATAACATAAAGACAAAAAAGCTTCTACCTAAAGCCTTTCTTCTGAAAAATTGGTAGATGCTTATTAGACTCACAGGGCGTTTGGAGAAGCCAGCCAGCAAGAAATCGTTTTTTTATTTAAATTAACTAAAAAAAAAAAAGGATAGGGAAAGAAATTAAGAAACCAATTTTAAACGAATTGCTAATCTAAATGTTGTTGCGTCTTTGCCTAAATCGACAATATTTTTTTTCAAAAAACAATCTGATGCATTATAACTTGAGACGCGGATGATTTAGATTCAATTAGTGTGCTTACTATATACGTCAAAATAAATACAAGATTAAATTTATCACAACAAATCAGCAAAAAGAGACGTCAAATCCACTGGTTTTTTAAGATCCGAAACCCGTGACAATGCTGGAACTTTGCAATGAGCTTCAAAAGAGTTATTTTATTGAAAACTAACAAATGAAGAACCATCATACCATCTCTATCTTTGTTATTCAAAGTGAATGTAGTTCCAGAATTTATTAAATTCTAGAACTGCATTTTTGTTAAACAGTTTCAAGATGAAAAGGATTTTTCAAAAAATGTGTTGCATCGGGGGTATCAATCATCAAAATGCTTTTCTCTGAGTAAAGTTAAAACATATTTGTATTTTTAGATTATCTATATTTTTAACCAGGGCTGTGGAGTCGGAGTCGGAGTCGCGGAGTTGCGACAATTTTACCGGAGTCAGAGTCAGAGTTGCTAAAAAATATCGCGACTCCGACTCCGATAGTAAAATTTCATGGTATTGCACGTGCATGTACAAAACATTCAATTAACCTTATGTTCATACTAAACATCAAACAATGTTTCATAAATTTGTCAAAAAAAAAATTTCAACCAGGCAATATTTTTTATAGAATTCAAAGAATTTATCAAAAATTTTGCTTTGGAGTTAGAGTCGAAGTCGGAGTTGGAGTCGGAGTTGTGCTCAAAGTTGTAAGCCCATTTTAAGGAGTTAAATCCACTAACTGAACTCTTTGGATTGTCTTGTTATAAATGCCACAATTACATGCTGGTTTTTTGTCTTAAATTTAACACAAGTTTGCTCATTTGTCCACAGTATATAAACTATGCTGTTATTGCCTGGGGTTATACAGGCAAAAGTTAAAACGTCTTTACCGCCGTCAGAAACACACTATGCGTTTAATCAATTTGCAGATCGATTCTTACATACTAGAATATTTTTTATGGAAATGAGAATAATCAATGTATACAAATTAATTTTATTTAATGCTTTATGATTCATTTATATGTAGAAGAGATTTACGCCCTTTAGTTTATAAAGATTTATTAATTTCAAAACCCATAAGACATTTTAAAAAATAATAACTTCGTAAATGAACTTTTTTTTAAAACAAGATTTAATCAATTTTGTATTTCATAATCAATTTTGAATTTCATGCATCATATCTCTAAAATAGGGTTGTTTAACCAAAATTTGATTTATCGATAACTTTTCCAGTCTTTACACATAAAACTTCATACTCTCGTTTGAAAATATTTAATGAAATTATATGATATGATATGTAAATTTATATTATAAGTTTTATTTCTTCATTGTATTGTAATACATATTGTTTTTCAGAACAACAAATTCAAGTGGTAAGATGAAGATGAAGATCATTAGAATTTTCTTTCAGAAGATCCTAATGATCTAATCGCCAGAATAATCTTTACCTTTGTTTGTGTTTTAATTTTTTTTAACTAAGCTTTGAATTTATATGTCTATGGATTTTACATATTGTAAAGAGTTTGATTGGGAATACAAGCATTAAAAAAAAATTAATGGGGGAGAGGGGGGAGTATATGGGATGCTGAAGAGATGTTATTTAGCTGGGGAGCCAAGATGACTCAAAAACGGGCCTGTCTACAACTCATATATGAGTTGTAGGCAGGCCCATCTTTATATATATATATATATATATAATAAACTTTTAATAAGAAATAGCAGTCGTCAAATATTTTTGGCTAGAATGTAGCAATTTGTTAATGCTTACACATATTTTTCATTCGATTGCGAATATTTTCATTAATATGCCTATTGTTTTAACTACCAGCTTAAGTATAAAAAAAAAGAAAAAGAAAATAATCATTCACAGAAATGGAAATGCCCTTTGTCAGGAGATGCGCATATTGCTTTTCGGAAAAATCTCGCTAGCGAAAAATGATCCCGCTTAACTCTTACATCCCGCTTTTCGTAGCACGAATTCGGTAGTACAAAAAAAAGAAAATAAAAAAAGGCAAGAACTTTAAAATTGTTTTTAAAATAACTAGCACCGTTAAACTTTTAAAATGGCATAACATAATTTTCGGTAAAATAGTTCTCTAATAAAGGAATGTTATCTTTTAGTTTCAAAGTTATTAGTAAAAGGTTATAGTTGCAAATATTTCCACTTTTTTGAGAATTGCATTACTAGTATTAATGAATGAACACTATAAATTTATTTTCATTTTTTCAGGTATGTCTATATAATATGCAACTACATTGTAAAATAACAACAATTCTGAAAATATCGCAGCTCTATAAACTCACTGCTTTCTACTTGAATAGTTAAAGATATGTTTAAATCACATAAACAAACGCTTGCGCAGCAACTGAAAAGCAAGGTAATTTTTCTTTAGTAAATTTAAAGGTATATAGGTCCTATATAATAAAAACATGCAAGTTTCTATAAAATAATTCTATGTATATGTATAATTAAAGTTCCAGTAAATTTTAATTATACGACCTGTGGTAAAACTGTTTGACAACTCTTGACAATTTTTTTTTTTTTTTTTTTTTTTTTGTATAATAATAATAATAAAAATAATAGCAATAATAACAATAATAGCAATAATAGCAATAGTAATAATAATAATAATAATAATAATAATAATAATAATAATAATAATAAGGTTTAGCTGTTACACCTGGTGTTAACAGTTGTAAAGTGCAATAACGGTAGATATTGCGCTGTAACAGCTCAGTTAGTTTTTTGTTTATACTTTAACAAAATGTTTCTGCAAAATTCAGATTTCTCTAGTTTATTTTTGAAGTTATTTATTAAAGCAGCTTCTACTATTGCAGATGGTAAGTTATTCCATGCATTTACAACTGGATTTTGGAAAAAGTGATATCTGAAGGTGTTTTTCAAAAAGTTTTTTTTATTTTGAATTTGTGTTGTTGTAAATTCGGACCTTTATTTGATGTGTTTTGATAATTGTTTGTAACCCAATTTATTTTATTGTGGCCATGTTGAATTTTAAAATGTTGAATAACATCTCCATGTAGTCTACGTTCTTCTAGAATTGCATAATATTTAATTTAGCTTCATACGGTAATTTTTTAATTGTAGGTGCTAGTTTGGTTGCTCTTTTTTGAATTATCTCAATTTTATCTATGTCTTGTTGTAGGAATGGAGACCATGCTTGGACCGCAAACTCAAGATGTGGACGTATGAATGTTGTATAGAGATTTTTTACTATGTTTACATCTAAATATTTAAATGTTCTCTTTATGATACCTAACATTCTGTTGGCTTTGCTAGTTACTGATTCAACTTGTAAGTGCCATTTTAGATCCGATTGAACCATTATATCTAAATCATGTTCAGCTTTTGTGTTACATAATGTATAGTTACAATCAATATCAGTCATTATAAATGTAGCATTTAGATTTTTTTTCCTGATATGTATAATTATGATCTTTTTATTATTATATTTTGTGAGCCTGATAGATGACCATGCCATTATATTATTTATATCACTTTGAGGTATTGAATCATTCGGATTTTCTATAATGTTTATTATTTTATTCTCATCAGCATAAAGTTTGATAGGGTTTTTGATTTGATCTGGCAAATCATTATTGAAAATTAAAAACAGCAGTGGTCCTAAAACTGATCCCTGTGGTACACCACTGATAACTGGTAACCAATCTGAGACAATGTCACCAAGGATCGTTTTCTGTTTTCTGTTATTTTTTCTGTTTCTGATTGTTTTCTGTTTTCTGTTAAAAAGTTTTTCAAACTTTTTAACAGAAAACAGAGACTTTTAAACTAATATCAAAAGCTTTTTCAAAATCTAGATATAACATATCAATTGCGTGCCCATTTTTTAGTGCATCTGTTATGATATCAAAAGTTTCCAATAGATTTGTTGTGCAGTTTTTATTTTTTTTGAAACCATGCTGCTTTTCATTTTATAAGCTGTTTTTTGTTAGATAATCCATAATTTTATTTCGAATGACCGATTCCAAAACTTTACATGGGATAGAGGTCAATGAGATTGGCCTGTAATTAGATGCATTGTTCATATTAACTTTTTTAAAAATCGGGGTTATATTTGCTTGATTTCCAGAGCTCAGGTAATTGTTTCTCAGTCAACGATTTTATATATATTAAATTTAATGGTTCACAAAGAGTACTATGACATTTACTTAAGACATGTGGGCTTATCCAATTTTATTTTACTTATCAAATTTATTTTCAATAGTATGGCGAGTTATTATATTCTTTATATCTACTTCTAGAATAATTTTAGTCTTCTGCAGCACATTTGGTATTCTATGCTTATCTTCATTAACAAAAACTGAAGTGAAGCTATTGTTTAAAATATTTTATATAGATTCTCTATTTGTTATAGTGTTATCATATTCATCATACATTGAAACTATTCCTCTTTTAACATTTTTGTTAGAATTAACATAACTGTAAAATAATTTGGGATCTTTTTTTGATGTTTCACTTATCCTTTTTTTGTACTCAATATGTGTTTTAACCTCATTATGTTTTTAACCAGTTAACTTTGTATTTTATATTGTTGAACCAAAATGGGTGACTTATTTGATATTAATTTGTTCCATTTTAAAGGTTGCTTTATATCTGATTTCAGTCTTCATTTTTTTGTCAATCCATGGTTTTAAAGCTATGTGTTTATGGAATTTATGTGTTGATGGACTTTTTTAGGTATATGACTGTTAGATAATTTGTAACATTCATCCACATTTTTATTAAAGATTTCCAGCTTTGTAGTTAAACATTGATTTCCATAGGAAGTTTTTGATGTAGTTGGTTTTTTTAAGATGTAATTCCAATACAATATCTGAGATGCATTATTTGAATTGCTCAATGGAGGATTATAATCTATGATCGGGATATGCTCTGGTGCATCAGTTAAAATCAAATCTAAGGTATTGCCTTCTGATAGAATGCCTGAATTAAATGTAGATTTTGAGACGTTTTGAATTAAAAAGTTGTCATTTTAATTATCTAAAAATATTTGTGCCTGTCTATTATTCTTTAATACTGTTAAGATATTTTCATCGTTTCATTTTATATTTATGTAATTGAAGTCTCCAGCTAGGAGTAAACCTGAATATTTGTTGCAATCAACAATTTTTTTTTGCCATATTTATTATTTTATTGATTTTTTGATTTGTAAGTACTGCAGCATCAGGTGGACGATATATGCTACCAATAAAGATATTCTTATTTTCTGTTTAAATGACACGCCAGACTTGTTCAACTGTCATTTCTTTAGTATGCATTATTTTTTTTACTAGTTATTAATAGTTATAGATTGCTCTTCTAACTAATTTTCCAAGATTATGATTACATCATTTTATAAACTATAAATGTTTTTTTTTTTTTGGAAACTCCAGTCAGTTTTTTTTTATATTTATAGTTTTTTACAATTTTTAAACAGAAAATATTATGCATGTATTTTTTAAAATTAAAATATTACTAAAATGTCAAGCACAAGTTAGTAGGGTCTTTAGGTCAAATTACATAATATCATGTGTAAATGTTTTATATTTGTTAAATCGTTAACTCAAAACCAATATTGTAAGTAATATCGTGATATGAAATATAAAATCCTGATATATTATAGCAAAATTAATCTGCACATTTGTTATAGTAAAAAAATTTTTTTTGGTTATTTTTCTAAAAACCTTTAAAAAAACCTCAATAAAAGTCTATAGAGTTTATCAAAACTTTCAACAACAACATTTTGTTTAGTATTGTCAATCTCAGGTAGGTTAAAATATATGACTGTTGTTTGCTCAAAAGCTTAATTTTGTACTATAATATACACTGGTACAATATTAACTGACATGACAGTCAAATTGTTACAATTTTTTAGTAAATAAAGCTGGATTAAACTTTTTAGACTCCAGATTTTTATTGTACAATAATGCTTCTAACATGACTGGAAAATAAAAGGATGCAGAAAAATATTTTAGAAAAAAATAAGCAGACAAAGTTTTTACCATGTGTAGGACTTTGGTTAATTTTGATCATCAGCAAGAGCCAGTGTGATTCTCAATATTGCTAAAATATAAAACTTTTAAATAGGCTTGCCACTTTTGCGATCCAAATAAGCCAGTACAGTTTCTCTAAAATGTGTCTATGCTCAGATGATTTTTTAATAAAGAAACATTTGTTGTAATGCAGTTATTGAAAATCTCAAAAGCTTTACACACAAAGAAAAAAACACTTCCTTTTGAGGAAGTGTTTTTTGCTTTGTGTGTAAAGTCTATTTCTATTTCAAAAACATTGATATTTTCAAATATTAATGTTATTCCTGATCTCAATAAAGATATTTCAAATTGTCTTTCTTTTTTACAGCATTTTATTTAACTTGCTTTCTTGTCAGTTCATTTATTTATTTTTTTAAGATCCGCGCAAAACAAACATGAGGTTAGCGGTAATAATAAAAGTAATCATTAGAGAAAGTCATTTAAACAAACAACGCAAAACAGACTTTAGTTTAGCATGAATCGTTAAGAAAATTAAGAAAAATAATTAAAACAAACAATAAACAGTTTAGTTTAGCGTTTTAGTTTAACGTAAATAAATAATATCTCTGTTGAACTATAAAAAAAATATATATAAAAAGTCTTAAAAATTAACATTTTAAAACAGGGTGGCCACTGGTCATGGAAATCATGGAAATGTCATGGAATTTTATTTGTTCAGGAAAAAAGTCATGGAATTACTAAATTTTCATTGAAAGTCATGGAAAATTTATGGAGCTTTTTAAAATTATCTTCACTTTTTTTCTACTTGTGATATTTTTAGGATGCAAAAAAAAAATACTAGTATGTCTAGTCTAAATCCTTTTTGAAAAAGATATTTTTGCAGTGTAAGTTATCAGAGAAGTAAAAAAGAGTTTTTTTTAGACATGATTTCAGAACTTTCTATCTATTAGTTTTTGGTTTGCATGTTTTATAATGACCAAATAGCAAATGCTTAGTACATGCCAAGTACTAAAGTATACAAGTACCAAGTACCAAGTATACATGACAAGTACTGAATATTTTACTCTAGTGATTTATCATAACGGTTTATGTAGAGTCATGAAAAAGTCATGGAAAAGTCATTGAATTTCATTTTAAATTTGAGTGGCCACCCTGTAAAAATGGACTAAAAGTAATAAATGTATGTACACAACCTGAAATATCCATTAAAGTCAATGACTGAAAGTGTTGGGCAACTAAGTACAACTTGTTCCTATTGGCTTCCAAAATTTTCAGTCATTGACTTTAATGGATATTTCAGGTTCTGTTTGTACACAAGTCCTCAGGTCCCATGAAATAGTTTCTTGTTTAGTTTACGTAATTTGAA